CTCCTGAACGTTACCCTCAGCAGCAAATTCTGCTTACAAACACTAGGCCCAAATCACCCTCCCCAAGAAAATACATAAATTAAGAGACAACTGGAAAATCAGACATGAAACAGAAATCTGAGGTATTCAAATGTGAATTTACGTTATCGTGCAACCCAACAATACAGGAACATATGGTTCTTAGATTAGAAAAAAAATCACATTGTTCTTTTCCCTCATTGAATGTTTCTGCCTTGCAGAGCTCATCAAGGTCTGTTTGCTGTTTTTTCAAGGGCAAAACATATTTAGGTGTCATACCCATAGGCACCCTGTCATGCTGTGAGGTGCACCAAGACCTTCTCAGCTCTGTGCTGAACCAGCCCCCTCCAAACAGACACTCCTTGCCTCCTCTGAGCCCCTCAAGTTTGTCAGCCTCTCTGTAGGATCGCAAAGAGGACGTAGTGATGAATGAGGCCTGATGGATGATGAGCAGAGGGAAACACCCTTGAGCTTTCTGTCTAGAGGAGAAAGATAGGAGAAGACCTTTCAGAGCAAGCTGCCTGTGTGGCACCGGGCCTGGCAGTGCTGGGGTCCCAGGCTGGATGCTTGCCAGGCCTACAAGCACTGCCTGAACACACAGGAGAGAGCTTGTTCTACAAACTAGCTGCTCCCTTCTCCTCCATCCCTTCTTCTTCTCCTTCATCATCTACTACGTCATCTTCCTGCTGTTCTCCTCCCCTGCTTCTCCTTTACTTTCTTCTGTAATAGTAGTTTAAATTTCTTTCCCCTCTAGGCTATGGGGAGGTTCCACACTGGGCCCCTGTAAGGGAAGCCTGTCAGTAACTCTCCTGTTCTTCCCATAGGCTTTGTAGCCACCAACATGAGTGCAGTCTGGGTTGGAACCTGGAGGCCTCATCATCCATGTGGCCACATCATGGCAGAGTTCACCACCCTGGGATTCAAGTATATAGTCCCTGAGATGACAGGTAAACCAAGAATCACAGGGGCAGGACTTGGGACTGGAAAAGGTCACAGCGCATCTGCTGCTTCCACTTAGAAACTGTAGAAATTTCACGCACTGCAAAGGGCCAAATATCCCATTGCAGAGAGATGCTCTTCAGGTCCCCGGTATTACGTCCATCCCTGCATCACCAAGAATAGGAAGGACGTGGATCCAGCACAACACATCTGCAGATGCCCCAAGATCAAGACCAAGGTCACCCCTGGACCAAGTGAGTACCACTTCTCCAGCCCTTCTTCCAGGCAAGATGAGCACACCTTACTTCGTGGGGTACAAAACCTGTCCAAACCAACAAAACCTGTCCACTGCTGCCTCAGCACTGTTCCCATAGAGCAGTGTCATTGACCTCATCTGTGAGTGCAGGTAGGACATGGGGACACACAAGAGTGTGTCTTAGTGTACAGGATATGGCATCACACATTAAGAGGACATCTTTTAAGTTCTGTTATATATCTGGGTACAGATATATACTTTATGCATCATCAGTGCACATCCATGGGGACAGTCAAGGATATCCCCCTCCACCACCTGATGATGTTCAGTTTACCTACTGTTGGGGTGGATTGATTACTTGGTCCCAGGCTGATAAACTGTTCCATGATGGGGATGTGTGAGCAATAAGACATGCACAGGCACACAGCACAGTCCTTTCTAGTCCAGTAGTAGGACACAGGTTATTTGAAATAGGTTGAGTATGATCTGCAATGTGCAATTTCTGTTCAGGGAACTTTTTAAGCCTTTTATGCACTCAGGATTTTGTTAACACTAGGTAATAAAAACCCACAAAATCAGACAAAAAGCCCAGCATAAATGCACTTAACTGGGCACATGTAAACTGCCATATATTGCAATATGCCAAACACAGAGAAGCACTCATCCCCTCTGGGTTGTGTGGAAGCACTCGCCCCTTCTTTGTTGTGTGGTTCCCACTCTTTCACCAAGGACATCTCTTATGTGTGATGCAGGAATTTTGTATATGTGGTTCACAGTAAGATTGCCTGTGTCAATCCATTTATTAAATACTAGTACAGCTAAATTTCTTTTGTAGATTAAAAAAACAAGTTCTAACATTTTCCTGTACCACAAAAGACTAAACATGCAGTGTGTTAACCCAAGCTTAATTTCCCTCTGCCTGAGGCACTAGATTATATTATTGGGTCAGAACCAGCTTGTGGATGTGTGTGTGTGTGGAGGGGGGAGGAGTTGGGTGGAATCTCATGGAGGTGGCGTGGCACCCTATCCCTCATAGCAGACCCCTGGAGCCCACATGGAGAAACCCTGGAGAAGCTGCTGGTCAAAGGCAGCCTGGGAAAGTTTCAACACACCACACCTCCTGGAGCACCTAACACAGTCTCAGATCGTCAGGGACAGTGAGAACACTGCCCCTCATCCTGTCTTAACCCTGTGTCGGCCAGTGGGCTGGGAGGTCTCGCTGGGTGGGCCATAAGGACCAGAGCAGATAAAACCAAAGGCATGTGCTCTCCATGCAGTCATGGCCCTGCCATTTGGACATGTGAGAGCTGGACTTCCACAAGGATCTAGTGGTAGCTGTATTATAATCTTTCTCTCCCTCTTCTCTCCTTGCTTTTTCTTCTCTTTCTTTGCTCCTTGATGTTTTGGGTAGCTTAAAGCTAGTGGGATTAGATCCTGCTAAATTGTGAGGGTTGTCATGCACTGGTCAGTACTTTGGCAGAATGCTTTGTTTGATTGTATGCTACACTTTTGAAATTTTGCAAAGTTCTCTTATTTTCTCCCCTAAACTATCAGTAAAGGCACCTCTTGAGATAAAGTGTGTGACTTATTCTCTTTACGCTATCTTGAGGTATTAAAGAACCCTGCATATTTTTAAAAGTAAAACTCATAGATATGCTTGCAGCTCTGGGGCTGGGGTGCTACATTCTGTCCCTCCTTTGCAAGAGCAGCTTTTATTGTTTATTATTATTCTAATTATTCTAATTATTATTCTAATTATTCTAATTATTGCTCAGAGCAAGGAAGTGTCCCTGGGTTAAACTGTAGGAAGCTGTGAAGGAAAAGTAGGGAGAGAAGGGCTTGTCCAAACTATTTCAGTATGCCCTTATGAGGTTTTGAGTTGTGCTGATGGTGGCATATGCCTCCGGTAAGGTCTCCCAAGCCAGACAGGTCAAAACTGAAGGGTCTAATGTGTCCATGGGCAGGATGAGCTCACTAGCCTTCCGGTGATCATCCTAGGAGAAGGACAACTCTAATTTCAAACCTCGGTAGATGGAGCTCGCTTAGCCCTGTAAGGGCATCGATCCATCCAAAGAGAAGGATACTCTAATCAAACCTACGTCCTGAAGACCTCACTGTCACCGTCCAAACTTGCTAGGCCCTGGCAGATGAACCTCAGGAGTAAAGGGTGGGAACAGTTCTGTGCAAGCTGAGCCTCACCTAAAATATCCACTGCACAGGCTCAAAGGTTATTATTCTAACCTTTTTTTTGCTCTGATCCTTTTAATTCACTTAGATCTTGATATAATTTTAGTTAAAATGCTTGCTATTAACCACGGGCATTTCAACTCACGGACAAGGGCACCTGAGAAGAGAAACGTCTGCTCTGGGTTTCACTGTGAGGAGACACTGGCAGTAAGGTCCATCCTCAGCAGGAGGGCAGGGGTGGAAAGCAATGTGGAAAAGCTCATCAATGGAGATAACGATACGTGAAATGGACTCGGCTAGGGGAAATTAGTGTATTTTACTGCTATTTATTCAGGTAGTGAGAAACCTGCCTCCCACTGCTATCTTTTCCCCATGGGAGTTGCACCCCACTGCTGGCATCTCCTGCTCAGGCTGTAGCCATGCTCAGGTGCTGCCTGGGTCCATTCTAGCATAGGTCCCACTGTCACAGCTCCCTTAAAGACTATCTCCCTGCCCTCCAAAACTACAGGGGATGCCTGTTCTCTGAGGACACAGTGAGGATTGACTATCACAATCCTGGGAACTTTGCCTGTTGCCTCTCGCTGTCACACCCACCCTTCCCTCAAATTAGTGGGCACCCAGACACTGCCAGCACCACCTTCGGACCAACTATTCAGTTGTTTGTGCAGCAGCCATATTGCCTAAGGGGCTTTGCTGTGGCTGGGCATGGGGCTGACATGGAACTGGCCGAGTTCAGCATGAAGCAGCCCCAAATTCTCCACACAGAGACCTTCTTGTGTCCCCATGCACAGGTAGCTAGTACAGGCCTTTCTAGTCCAGGGGTACCTGAGGACAGGTCAAATGGGACGAGTCTGGAAAGAACTGCTGACTGTGGAGCTGGGAGGGGCTTCTGCCTCAGAGAGACTATGAGAGCTGCCCGCTCTAACTCCCACCCCTTTGCCTAGAAACCAGAGGAGAATTGTTTTGGCATCACCACTTAACCAGAAGGGAAGAACAGCTCCCCAAAGATGCAGTAGAATCCCACCGCTGGAGGCAGTCAAGTTGCAGTTGGCAGGGTGCTAGATATTCTCCTCCAGGTTGCCTTTCCCACACAAGGGCTGGATGGACCTTCCAAGGTCCCTTGTCATCTGGACTGTTGCATTTTCAGACTGGGTGTAATGACTCTTTCTCTGTAACTGTTGGTGTTCCGATTACTTGCCTATGGAAATGAGGCCCTGCCAGTGTCAAGGGGTGATGCAGAGCATCCCCTAGTGTGCAGACACCACCCATGTGCATTGTAAAGGAGGATGCTGAGAAGGGCTGTGCCCTTGGGGGCCAACCTACACCTGTGGAATGTTTAGCCATAGGGTGAAAATGTGCAAGGTGGCACTGGAATGCTTTCACAGTAGAATGCTTTGCTCTGGTCAGGTGAAACAGTGCTGTTGGAGATAAGGGTCCTGCTCACTCTGTTACCTCTGCTGGTCTCCCCTCACCCTCACCTTGCAGTGTTTTGGCTGAGGTGTAGACATGAAACGGAGAGAACCAGTGGTCTGCACCTATGCACACCTACCCACCACTGCAGCAGAGGGTGAATAGAAAAGATCTTTGGAGGTATCTGGTTTTATTCAGGAGGCACCCGAGGTAATAAAGCAGCTTTGTAGAGGGAATGACGAAGTCCAAAAGTGTAAGCAGGTTCCCGGGGCTTGATCAGCGTCACCTGGAAGGAAAAAGTGAGAAGTAAGTGTGATGGTGGTGCCTTGTTCTCCAGACTTGCCCTCGAGTGAAGGCTGTCCAGCATAACATATTTGTGGACATGTTGCCCTACCTTTCCCACGCAGTAGTCTGCTGGTCCCGGACGCAGGAACTTGTCAGTAAGTTTAGTTTTCAGTCCCATTGTGTACTTGGGAGCCCTCTTTTTGTAGACATCCAGTTCCACCTTGGAGAATGCCGCAGGACCTGGTGTCTGTAAGAGAAGCAGGGAGGTTGGTAGGTGCAAAAAACAGTATTGATTTTTGCTGAGCCCCCACACGGGATGCACTGCTCTAGGTGGCTGGACAGAGAAGAGGTGTGGAAGGCGTGGAACTTTGGGAAGGAAGGCATCTCCTGTTCCCCTGCAGAGAGACAGATTTCCCAGAAGAGAAGGGAGATTGATGTTAGTGCCGATGAGCTGTACCCCACCAAAGCTGTTCATGTTGGAAAGTGAGGGACTGCAGATGTCAGTGTTGCTGGTAAGAGTAGAGAGCCCGGGACCCTTTGGCTTCTCAGGCTTTGCTGCAGGTGCAGGTAAGAGTGTGTTACATGGAGCTGCAGCAGGTACTGGAGCCCTTCTGCCCTGAGGAGAGCATCTGATTTCCACTGCTGCTGCAAGAGAACAGAGAAACACAACTCACCTTGGCCAGGTCTTGGAAACAGCTGTTGTACATACTCTTCCATCTCATGGAGTAGCATGGGTTGGCATGGGTGTAGACTGTGTTGGGTCCCAGGAGCCTGGGAAGGGTGTAGGCACCAGGACCTGGAAAGGGAATGAGAAGAGAGCATAGGTGAGTCCTGTGGGAAAGGGAGCAATGCCCACGTGGGAGAGAATCAATCTACCAAACCAGCTGTGAGGAGCAGGAGGTATCCTGTCCCTCCTCCCAGTGCCTCTGCCTTCTGTTGCACGTGGCATACACTGGCCATTCAAAGCCAGAGCTGCCGGTTCTTCTGTGAGATGGGAGAAGTTGGTGCTCCTAGACAGCAAGAAGCTTGTCAAGAGCATACTGTATCCTGCCACCTAGGCTTCTTGCTAGGCTGTTGAGGAAACGGCACAGCAGATGTTCTCTGGAGGACACATAGGCAGTTAGACAGTCTATTTGACCAAGTTCCTATACCTGGTGTTTGGAGAGCGCCAGCAAGCTTGTGCCGGAAGACCATGGACTGCACTGGTGCATTAGAGTAGACATGTTTGTCAGCCTTTTCTGTGGAATAGTCACCTGGGAGAGAGGAAAAGCCAAAAAAAGCAGTGAAGCTGAGTACCTAACTGCAAGCCAAAGAGGAGAGGCCAGGAGGATGTACTCAGCCTTGTTTGTTTCCTATCTGGAACCCTCTGAAGCCCATTCAGAGGTGGTCCTGTGGCACAGGACAACAGTAAGGCCTGGAAGAAGGGCTGCAGAAATGGTACTCACTAGGTCCGGGGGTGACCTCAGATTTGGTTTTGGGCCGTCCGATCAGGTGTGCTGATGGAGGTACATATTTCCCAACCTTGGTGATGGACGGATGGATGAAGTACCGAGGACCTGGAGAACAGTTTTCTGCGGCTGGACCTTTGGCCCCTCTAAATGTGTATGCAGGGGCTTTGTCTCTGGTGGGATCATGAGATGCGTGACCTGGGAAAAAAAGCCTGTGAAAGGACACCTGCCTGCAACTGTACAGTGAAGGGCAGTTTCTAAGTGGAAGCAGCAGATGTGATGTGCCTCTGCCCCACCTCCCCATGATTGCTGGTTTACCTGTTGTTCCAGGGATCCAGTACTTAGGCCCTGGAGTGTTGAACTCTGCCAGAATGGGGCCACGTCGGGGATGAGGCCTCCAGGTGCCCACCCATGGTCCATCCATGCTGATGGTTACAAAAACTATGGGAAAAACAGGAGAGCTACGGAGGGGCTTCCCCAGCAGGGCCCTGGTGTGGAGCTTTTCTGTAGCCCAGATGGGCAAACAAGTGAAACTAACATCACAGAAAAACGTAAAGAAGTGGAGAAGTAGGAAAGTCAAGTAGCAAATAAAAGAGAAGGAGGGATGGGGGGAGCAGCAAGTTCGTAGCAAAAATGTAGAAAAGCCTCCCTGCTGTGCCCACAGGCAGTTTTTGCTGGCCTAGCACGCGGTAGCGTAGGACCACAGCGTTTACACAGCAGTAAGATAGTCTCAGACACGTGTGCTCACAAACTTGCTTGCCTGGAGTTTGACACTGGTTGGGTGAGATGTCCTGATATAACCAGTGAGGGCTGCCAGGTCCTCGGTGTCATCATAATCCATTGCTAGATGGATCCATCATCGGTGATGTCCATCACTAGGTGACATCACAAAAGGCCACCCTCACCCAATGAGGAGCATCATGGAGTGAAGGCCATTGTGATGTTGAGAATGGCTGTTCAGCTGTTTGGGCAGCAGCTATATTACCTCCACTGTGGCTGGGCATGGGGTGGCCATGGAACTGGCTGAGTCCAGCATGGGGCAGCCCCAGATTCTCCACACAGAGACTTGCTTGTGTCCCAGTGCGTAGATACCCAGTACAGCCCTTTCTAGTCAAGTGGTACCTGAGGACAGGGATCTGGTCACTGAGCTGAGTCTGGAATGAACTGCTGACCGTGAAGCTGGGAGAGTCTCCTGCCTCCAAGAGTCTGTGAGAACTGCCTGCTCCAATTCCCACCCCTTTCCCAGCAATCAGAGCAGAATTGTTTTGGCATCACCACTTAGCCAGAAAGGAGGAACAGCCTCCCCAAGGACCAGGAGAGTTAAGCAGTCTTTATCTCAAACTTTGCACTTTTCTTGCTTTTGCCTTTCTATTCACTCCCCCATCCAGCTCTGCAGGGAAAGCAGTGAGTAAACTGTTAATGTGGCTTAGCTGTTGGTGAGGCTCAACCACTGAGTTTCCAACCATCTTTAACCAAAAATGTAAGAATGGCCTTCCTCTGAGGTGAATAAATGTTCTGAGTTAGCTGTAACTACTGCTTGCTGTGCCTGCAGTCATTTACAATGGGAGATCCCTGAACCGAGCTGGGGAGTTGATAGCGCCCAGTTTCCCAGATTGTTCTCTGTATGTTATGATGTTTTTCCAAGACATCTGTGCCACTATCTTACTGTTAGAAGGGCAGAAGAGGGCAAAGCTTTCATCTCAGTTGCTCTGGCTTTTCCATTTGAGGGACCCCAGTGTGTCTGCATCACTCCTCAGATGCTCCTGATCTCTTTGATCAGCTTTGTCCCCCTGTCTGCCCACTTCTTCCTGTTGTTTAGGGAGTTCATGGTCACCAGGCTTTTCAATTTTGATGGTCCAGAGATAGAAGAAGTGACCTGGAAGGGCTAGACAGGGATAAGTTTCATTATTCTGAATTTGTCAGTAGTGTACAAGTGTTTACACCTGCAGTGTGAGTGCCTCATCCCCCCCAGGTTTGCATGCTCCAAGGTTTCATGCCTCTTTGCTAATGATCTCAATCATTTACCTACACTTTGTTTAGTGATCCCCTAAGATTTTCAGTCCTGAAGTTTTTACGGTTTGAGACAGCTGCTCTTTCATTGCTGTCTTATCCTGACTCTTATCTCTGTGTGAGACAGGCCAGTGACTTCATTCAGTGCACAAACCCCCCTGCTGTGCTGCTTGTCCCTCCCCTCATAGGAACCATTCAATCCCAGTCAAGAGATGGGGCAACACGGGGTGTTGGCACACACTGAGATCATCACTGGAGTGGAGGGCAATAGGGATGTTACTAGGGTTGGTGAGGATTCGGATTGACAACATGGAGTGACCCTGTGTGGGGACAGGGGTTGTGCCTTCAAACTGCTGTGTGTGGGAGGACACACTGAGTGTCTCCATGTATGTGCAGAGATGATGCACAAGATATGGGTCGGTATCCAGATATGCAACAGAGCCTAAGACATGTCCCCCCATCCAGAGGTGTCTACATGCAGCTCTGCCTCGTGTTGCCCCAAATGTCCCATGTTTCTGTGGCCCCCCACTATGCAATGCCATGTCCTGTACATCACTCCATACCTCTGCATGTCCCTGTGTCCCATCCACACTCACAGAGGAGTCTGATGATGCTGTGCTCCATGGGGCTGCAGCTGAGGCAGCCCTATGTCCACAGGCTGTGGACAGCGCTGCTGACCACCTCATCCAGCAGTCCCTGCACCACTTGCTTGTCTGTGGTGAGGCACCAGAGGGAGAGCTGCAAGTGACAACCACCTGCTTGCAGCTGCCACAGGCAGAAGCATCCCAGTGACCACAATCACACATACTCCAGCAAAGTCTTTCTCTGGGTCTGTGTGATCCATGTCAGCACTGACACCTAGGACATGGGCACAGCAGGGACACTGGGGACGTGTGGCATGGAAAAATGGGGGCTGCTTCAGCTCAATTCCTCCAGTTTGGGGAGGTCCCAAGTCCCATCAGTGTGAGCACATTAGGTACACTCTTACAGCGGGTAAAGCAGATATCTTGAAACTCCTCAACAGGTTCAAGAATTACCCCTTTACTATAAACAAGCAAGGAAAGAACTATAGAACAAGCTTTTAAAAGCTCTCAGTAGTGATCAGAATTATCCCCCTCATGTTTTGAATATTCTGCGCAAGGGATGGTTCCTGTGGTTTTTATCAATATGCTCCAGGGTAAACGCCCCGGTCCCTAGGATGCTTCTGTTGTCGTTAGGATCCAGATTTAACACCCATGACCCTCTGGAAAGCTGCCTCTTGCAGCTGCTATCAGTAGGTTTCAGTGTTAACGTACCATGGTCACCATCATCCAAGGCGGCTATTAACTGGAATGGCTATTATTAAGTCTCCAGAGTGAAAACAATCCTTGAGAAGGATATTTCCCAGAGCTACCATCAGTAAGCTTCAGAGCATCATCTAAATATAACTTAATTGATAGTTTTGCACTGATATGGGACATAGAAGAAAGCAAGAGTTAAAAAAAAGAATGTGGAAGATTCAGGTGAATGCCACCAAGAACACAAGAACTGGTTAAGCCTCATCAAATAATACTGACATTTCTAATGTAATCCAATAGGAAACAAGATTAGCCAGCTGCACTGGTGATGTATTAACTCTGGCCAGTATCCTCAATATCTGCTTTATCCACTGTAAGAGAGCAAGCTAACTAATCACTATATACAATTTTGTTAGTGTAGTGAAGACTGAGTGTTATGAAAACTGCTGATTATATTGTGTTTGAGTACTTGACCAGTGGGAGAAAATGCTATCTGCCTGTGCCTCTGAAGTTTAAGTGCCCTTCACTATACAAAACAGTCTGTGTTAAAGGACTCTTTTCTAAATTGGTTTGCCATTCCATTGTTTTGCATCACCCGCATCATCTCCATTCAAATCACAATTTGGACATTTCAGAATGTATTTCCTAACTAGTGTTATATTAAATCAACTTCTTGTAATAAACAAGTTGTGTTAAAAACAAAAACATATACAGTAGCTAGAGGCTGAAATGTCAGACTTATCCTACAGTAAAGAAAGGAAAATCTGTAGGTGGAAAAAGCCTGCTAGATTTTTTTAGTTGCTTTCATTGCTGTGTCTAATCACAAGCACTTAAAAATATAAATCCCTCCAAATTTTGCTCAAAAATAGAAGGTTTTGAATGAAAGATAGAAGTTTATTCACATAATCTGTGAATAGGAACAGGCAAAGACTTGCAAAACAGGATAATTTACTACTACTGAAACTGGCAGTGGGTGTAACATACTTGGCACATTTTTAATATCCTTAGCATATTTTATTTCAAACTTGTTAAAAGGATATGCTATAATTGATCTGTTTTTAGTGACAGTATAGAAGAGTATTGCCAGAAGTTGTAGCCTTATCAACACAAAAGGACGGCAGAATTAAAAGATGCCTATTAAAACTGATTAAACTCTTCAGTAGTAATTACTATGTATGAAGTATTATTCAAAAATAATTGGATACATATTTTTCACTGCATTTTATAAGATTTCACTGCATACTATAAGATTTTTATACAGTGCACTTTAGTAAATAACACTATTGTCTGAATTAAAACAAAATTTTTTAGAATAAATTGTACCTGTATGTTCTAGAGATAATTTGGGGGATGTGAAGGATCCCTGCTGTATGGAGAGCTCCCAGAACAATACTCACTGGTGCAGTCAAATCTCAAATTATATGAGATCTAGTGTATGTCACACTAGACACTTTTTTTGACAAATAAGAGGAAAAAATGTTAAAAATATCAGCAATTAAGTTTGATCTGGTTTGAACTTTTATGTTTAAAACAGATTTAGTCTTAAATACCTACAGATTTGAAGGCTTTCATATCTGTGCATTCACAGATGCTATTGAAAATGAAAAGTCAACTCCATTCCTTAAACCACCCTTCTAGGGATGGAACTAGTTTATGTTTTGAAGCAACACTTTTTTTCCCCGTAGATTCTTTATGTGTAATATTGATTATTTTCAACTGTAGAGAACTGGGCAAGACTGAATCACATTCATCCGCTACATTGCCAGTTTGTAGGAAGCAAACACTCAGTGGAAGTTCGTTAGTATTATGTAAACAGACAAATTAAACTATTACCTAAATTTTAAATGGGAGTTCTACCTTCAGCCATGCTGGAAGGTGAGTGGTAGTGAAACCAGATAAAGACAAGTCCTTTTTCATACTCAGACAAAATGTATGAGTTATTACTCATACATTGCTGTATATGGTGAAGAAAATATTTAGCATGGTGGTTTCTGCTTCAATAGAACAGAAAATCCCTATCCTAGGCACTGAGTTCTTATGGGTAGTTAGGGACTTCTGGAGGCACAGCTATTTGGAAAAACAAATAAAAATTTGCTTTATTTAGATAAATACTTACTGACTATTTGCTTCCTACAAACTGGCA